GGAATACTCCGCACAAGGACAACCAAACTCAATAAGACCCTCATGCTGCCCTCCTTCACGCAAGCCTTACATCACTATTGATAATAATAAAAGCTCTGTAGAAAGAGTAATCTAAAATGTCAGACACAAGAGCAGGGAAAAAAAGACCACACACACACACACACAAAAACCCTCTACAAAGAAATATATTTGCGTAGGTCAAAGGACTAAAAGACTTAAGTGCTTTGCTCCAAAATATAGTATTGATTTTGGAGTAACAGAATTGCCTACTTACTTGGGGCTCCTCTGCAAAATAAGAATTAATGTTCTGATTGAGCAGCACACATCACTGGCCTTTGTTAGTATTATACTCTGCACTGGTATCTTTGAATCACTTTAGTTGTTGCTGTTCTGAGGACATCAGAAAGAATTTAGGTTAGAAGCTCAAGTTTAATGAATTTACATAGCTACCTCACAATAGCAGAGGCTTGTGTCAAATGCCATTACCCAGCCAAGCCGTCCATTTCAGAGCACTGTGAACAACTGCTCCCCATTTAGAAAACAGCAAGCACCATCATTTTCAGGTGTTTCCTACTGGGAGACTTGAAAAATGAACTACACAAAGAGAAGTCTTTTCCCATAAACTTATTTACCTTTCTACTGACTGAGTAGTCTGATATCAGACATAATGATAAATTACTTGTTATGTCTGTTTTCACCCAGTTTTTGCAAGCACGTTCCCAGTTCTGTTTACAGTCGCCACGCATGGGAGCGTTAATCTTTGAACAGGTGCAATATACACTGTGAAAGGAGCACTCCTGCCTTAAGAGCCTGATTGCAGGATCAAGGCTTATTACCTATAATACACCGAAGCACTGATGAAGTGATTTCAACAGGACTCCAGAAGGGTTTCAACAAGCCTTCCATTTTAATATATTTTTATGTTTCCTTGGTTTATTTTAGCTTTTTGCGTAGTGCATTTAGATTCAATGCATTTCATTTAATGTATTTAAATACTTACAAAAATCTTTCAAATTTCTGATAAATGGTCATCCTCACGCTATCATAAGCTAATAGGATTTTTCTAATCCTCCATCAAGAGGATGAGATGCAGTTTACAGGCAGCTTCTGCACTACAATTAGAAGATATGATTGCAGCACTTTAGATGCATTTCAATTACATTTGTTGGCCTCAAATAACAAAATAGTTAAAAATACAGGAACAAGGACTTCACTGCAGGCTATTAACTTCAGTGGGCACCCCAGGTACAGAGGAGGCCTGTAAAACCCCTAGCTGAAGGCTACGCTCCCACAGCCTGGCTGCTGCTGGTACGTGCACTAGGGAAATTAGAGCTAGCACAGGCATGTCTACACAAGCTATAATCATGCATTCGACTGCAGCGTGTGCACAGGAAGAAAAGCCCTTTGCTTGTTTTTCACATCAACAGCATTTTGTGGAAATATCTGCGTAGAATACAGAGAGCTGCCACCTCGTAATCAGGTTTATGTAATTCTGGAGACGACATAAAATAATCTCCTCTCCTTCACTCTCAGTAAGCCTGATGTTTCTAGGGATCTGTGGTAAAGGCCTTTGAGAAAGAATTCAATCATTCAAGAACCATCTAAATACTGAGCAGGTGCTTACTGCGGACAACAGGTCTGTATTCAAACAGCAAAGATTATTTCATAAAAAAAGAAATTCTATATTTGATTGTTAAACAGATGCCTTGCATAAAAAACACAGAGGAGACTGACAGTGCAACTGAAAACAGCCTAAGTCTGTTTTGAATTATCAGGAACGTAACCAGAGGGATTTTTCTTACTATTGCAGCAAAAACACAGCATATTTCTAAGTTCAGAATTAGCACGCAATATTTTGTTAAACGCTAGATTTAAAAGGCTCTAAAGTATGAGTATGACATAAAAAACATAAATGCTCTTGCAACGTCAAAATGTAAGTAAAAAGGCAAGATTTTTTTTAATGATTCTATCCTTGAAAGGAGTCATGTCACTCACTCACCACTTCAATATATTTCAAATTTAAGTTTCAGTATTACTGGTAATTATAGCAAGAGCCTGGCCTTCTGATAAAGAAAATGAAAATATACTAAAGCATTAAAGAAAAACTTTCTATTTGAGAAACAATTGGGAAAAGTTATTTCAGGATCATGTCTGGTCAGCAAGGTGTTATTTTACTTATCACAAAGTCCTTGTGCTTCTGCTCCTGTTTAAGACTACATCACATATATCACACTTTCACGGATGGGTTAGAAAGTAAAATCCTTAAATTCACTTTTAAAATCTTCAGTCCAAGACTCACAAATAGGTGAGACCATTTTGATAAATGAGTTAATAGAACTTTTGTGCTGAAGCAGCTGTATAGTGAAAACAGAAAATACTGGTAGTCAAATTTCTAACAAGCTTAGTGACAAGCTTAGTAAAAGTGTTCTTATCATTCCCAGAAAACTTTTCCTCCATAACGCACAAGCTTTTTAGGAGCAAAAAAGCTTTTTTTTTTTTTTTTCTGTTGAAACTGAGGAATTCATCAATAAACATGCTAAACCAAATTCTATTTCACAGAAACCCCAAATGGCTGTGCAAGTAAAATGATTCTCAACCAATGAAAAACAAAAAAAGGCATATATGGTACAGCTTATAGCATGTTTTTCATTAGTTCCTCACTGTAAGCAAAGTAGATATCCATTTAGCAGGAGGAAAGGCAATTTTCAACAAATGCCTCACTATGTTTTATCACTTGAGATAAATTAATTCTGGATATTGTTAAATTCTTTCTGGAATTAACTACAGCTATGAGGGAGAAATACACACTTTTTGGCGAAACTTATGTGCACATAAGTCTACATTTTCTTTAAATGCTACTTACACAATTAGAGCTAAGAAACAGCCACAGAAAGTAAATCAATGGCTTTTGATAATCTCCAAATTTCTAAGTTTTAAATTATATAAATTACTGCTTTGAGAGATCACAATATGGAAATGTGCTTCTAATAAACTGCAGAAACACATTCAGACCCAGCAAATTGAATTCATACCAGCAAGTACATGAATTGGTAAACAAAGACAAAATAGTACAACTTGCCATGCAGCTTAACAGACCATATAAAGAACTTGTAAAGTAGTTTTGCCTGAACTACTCTTAATAGCAAAGGAAAAAATATATTGAAGGCTTTTTAAGGATGATTCTGACACACATTTCATAGACAAAGCTCACCAGGAAATGCATCGAGAAGTGAAATACATGTTGTATGTATTCTGAATATGAAATATTTGCATAAAGTGGATTACAAGATCTATTATGAATGGATGTAACTGTAGTCAAGAAAATGTCTTACTTTCAGGGTTCTTTAAAGGTATTTGGGTTTGTTTACTACTGCTATCATTAGCAAACATGAAAATGAGGGTAGCATGCAGTGTTCTTGATGAGTTTCGCACTATTTCTGTTAGCAGACAGACTAGTGCAGATTTCTTCGCATATACAGAGTCTAAAATATTTACAAGCATGCATATTCACAAGAGCAGGGCCTTATGTTTCTACCTTCTGGAATACAGAAGCATTAACTCATTTCCAGAATTGCACTCTGAAGAGAAGCAGAACTGCAAGTTCAAGACTTTCTTTTTCAAACTGCCAGGTTTTAAAACAGTTGAATGAAAAGGTACCGTTTCACGGTTACTCTGTTAAAACATAAGTACATCACACCGGTGAAATAAAACTAGACTAGAATTGTTCTGTTATTAACACGTGTAAACAGTACCCAATACACATAGTTTAAAAAGGAGAACCTTAAGACTGTGAAATCTAAGAATCTACCGCATTTTAATCGCGCCTGCTGCGTACGAGGACACCCCAGACGGGAGCACGCCGGAGCCCGGCCGCTCCACGGCACCGTTTGGCCGCGCAGACGTTTCTCGGGACGGGAACCCGCGG